CTGCCAGTCATGCTGGTGTGACCATAGTTACAGGTATCCTATCCCAACTGATCGACAGAATGCCGTCGCTGTAATACCATCTATGTATTACATAGGTGATTATTCAAATTTTCACTGTTGGTGGGTTTTGAACTCACAACCTACCACTTGGGGGGTTGACAACTTATCCACTTCACTAAGTCGCCACACCCACTAATATTTCAAATTAATTGAAACAAATAATGTATATCAAATTATTGTAAAAAAAAAAGGAAAAGAGAAGAAGTATGAAAAAGAGTATTATCATGATGAATCAATATCAAACATGATTGCTCATTTACAGTCAGAACATAATATTGTAGATGTTAGTAAATTAAAAATTAAAACTCAAAAAGCTCACCAAATCAAATTACCTGAATTATTCAATACTAACATTCCACATAAAGAAGACAAACAAAAAAAAAATAAAGCAGTTTTAGAATGGATTATTCTAGATAATGAAGCATTAGCTGCACCACAAAAAAAAGGATTCCATTGAATGATGACAGTAATTGATCTCAAATTTCATCCTTCTTCTAATTAGGTACTAAAAAATGAAATGACATTCAGTTATTTAAAAAATGTCAATGCTCTAAAAAATGAAAATGCATCTTCTTGTAAAACTGCTACAATAACTGCTGATTTATGAACATTGTGTAATAAAGAAAGTTATATAGAAATTACTTGTCATTAGATAGATCCTAATTGGAAATTGCATATCATAACACTTTGCTGCAAGAAAATATCATATCTACATACAGGTAGAGTTATAATTTTATATATATATATATATATTTTTATGTAATTTTGTATAAGTTTTAGTAAATCAACATTTCATGATTATTTATGTCAGATTTTTTATTATTCGAATATGAGCTATAGTACAAATAATATATATTACCTATTATGTGAGAAAATTAGCATGAAATTTAATTTACTAATGCTAACACTAAACTTACATAAAATTATATGAAAAGGTAAAAATGTAATTTTTGTAATATAATTCTATATATAGGTGAATTAATTTACCAGTTTCTTGTAAACAAATGTAATGAATTTAATCTTAAAGAAAAGGTTGTATGTGCTATTACCGATAACAGAGACAATATGATAAAAGCAATTCAAAAGTGGAATTCTGTAGAACAAGTTCTATGCACTGCACATATATTGCAGTTAATAGTTAATTTTGTTTTAAAAAAATTCAACTTGCATACAAAAAAATAAAAAAACTTGTTAAGTTTTTTGATTCTCTGAAGCAAAATAAAAGGTTGAAAAAAGCTCAAATTGCAGTAATAACAAGAGATAACTTATCTATGCCAGAAGTAATTGATAATAATACAGATTATAAAAATAAAAAATCTGATGAAGTTGATAATAGAGATTTAATAGAACAGCAAGTGTAAATTCAGTACCCCAAGTTCTTCGAATAGTTAAGAATTGTTTGACCTATTGAAATTCAAAATACCAGTTATGAAAAAGGCTAATAAAATTAAAAGATGCAATTGTGTGATTAGAAGCTAATTTGAATATATCACGAAATTTAGATGAAAAAAAAATGATCAAAATCTTAAATGTTGCATGTTTAATGAAAGTGAATGAAAGTTAGTTGAAGAGCTAATTAAAATTTTTAAGCTGTTTGATTATGCAACTGAAGCATTTAGTGCAGAAAAATTTTTAACATTGTCAGTTATATATTCTATTATTAAAGTTTTGAAATCTAAATTTAACTCAAGTTTATATGTAAATGAAACTGAATATGGTAAGAATTTAAATTTTTGTATATTATATGTTAGTTCTAATAAGCTAAATAATTCTTTGTACTCACTACTATTTTAATGTCAAACAATTTGAATACTAATTCTAGAGTTGTATATCTGCTTATAGTACTGTAAAGTGAATATCTGGAAGTATATCTTTAAATATATTATGTAACAGACTTAATCTTATATCTAACAAGTTTGCTACAATAATAAACTTAAAGATTTACTTTTAGGTTTTTATTCTGCAACACTCATATAAGTGTTGCCAAGGAAAAATAGTATTTTAGGCTTTCAATTATATTTTGTATTGAACATAGTTCTTAATAAATTAGATAGATTGTGTTCAGTATAAAATATAATTAAAAGTCTGAAGTGCTATTTTTTCTTGACAGCACTTATATATAAGTTGAACTACACTGATAGAAACTTTATAAGTATGTATTTTTAAAATATTAATCCTTTTTATTTGTTTTTAGATTCTGAGGTAAGTAGTAATAGCCAAAGTGATAATAGTAATAGTGAAACTGATAATAGTAATAGTGAAGGTAATAACAATTCTAATACTCAGCCACTAAGAACACCTAATATTTAATCTGTAAGTTCTAATATTAAACAAGAAATATATAAATTGCTTTAGAAATATTAGAAAAATCCAAAATCTATAGGTCTATTGGCAACATTACTAGATCTATGACTAAAAAAAATGCACTCTTGGCCTAGTTATATATGAGAAAAAACAATAAGATTGTGTTATAAAGAACTTGATATTATTATTGACAATGTTCCTTTACTAGCTATCTCTTCTCCTGCTACTATCTCATCAACAAACCATTATTTTGTATCAATCTTTCAAGATAATAATAATAATAATGATAATGATGCAGATAATGAATTAGACAAATACTTGGATACTAAAAAAGTACCAGTTGTTTCACAAATAACCTCACCTCTGGAATAGTGAAAAAAGTATGAAAAAGAATTTTCTAGTTTGTGCCAATTGGCAAGGAAATATTTATTCATACCAGCTACTTCAGTACCAAGCGAATGCTTGTTCTCTAATGCTGGAAATCAAGTGACTCCAAAGCAAACTTACTTTAAACCAGAAACTATTTTACAAATATTATTTTTAAAAAGAAATGATGATTTATTTAGTATTACATAAAATATTAAATATATTCACATTGTTTTTTCTTATATCATAAAATAGGTTATATATCATTTTTCTCATATTTCATAGCAATAGTTCAAACTATGTTTTATATGTCTATTTAGGATGTTTATTATATACTATCAATTATCTTTATTCAAAAATTTAGTTTAAACTATTAATAAATATAAGTATAAAATTTTGTTTTTTTTAAATTTTTTTTTGTTACTATTTTAATTGGTCTTAAATATTTAATGCAGCATTCTGGATCCCAACAAAAATCATTTTCCTGGTTTAAAAATAATATTAAAAAATGCACTTGAAATAAAATAGGCAATATTGAGATTTAGTTATTAGAAAAAAAAACAATAATTTAATTATATAATTACATAGATAGATAAACATTCTTAAATACGAATTTAGATTTATTAATAGTTAATATATTACAGTATAAAATCAATTAAAGTTGCTTTTAAATTTCATATTAGACTTGGAATTCCAGATAAATGGTATTTCTAAGAAATAGTACATTAAAAGTACAAAGAACCCTCAACCTAAACAAATTCTAAATCTAGAATTTTGTTCCAACATATCGATATAGTATTTTTAATAGTTTTAGGCATAAAAATTTATTGTGAAATAAATCCATATATGAATCTAACTATTGTATTATAAAAAGAAATAAATAAAAAATACTGTATGCTCAAAATATTGAAATAATTTATATATCACACATTAAATATAGTTAAAATTTTGAATCAGAAAGTGAAATATCAATATTTAAATTATGATATATAAAAAAAATAACAATTGTAAAAGTGTCATTGAATAAATAAGTTTACATTTAATATAAAATAAGATTTATAGATCGCTTTATTTCGAAACTTATTTTATTTAAAATAGGTGTCTGATTTGAATTTTGAGACTGTTAGTAATTTATATTATAATAAACTGATAAGCCAGAATCTACATATTTTCAGATTTAATTTGTGTAACTCAGTTTATAATTTGGTATATAAACTGTAAATAGTTGAATGACCCAGAAGTTAAATTTTATGACAGATACAATCTCTATATTAATATGGCAGCTTTTTTACAATTTACTATTAGAGAGAATACAAAAAAATAAAAATTTAAAATATTTAGTAGAACAACAGATCAAAAGAAAAATGCAATGCAGCAATATCACAAAGTATGCCAAGCAGCTATTGCATATACAGATAACACAATATGAATTGCAAATAGTAAAAAACAGCTAATAGATATATTAAAAATAGCAGAAGAATTTTTAAAATGAATAATATAAAGATAAATGGATTCAAATCAAAGCTGTTAATAATAAATATAAAAATAAATAAATAAAAAAAAGAAGTAATCTTTAAAGAAAGTGAGATAACAGAAGAAGCAAAGAACAAGATAGTTTACTTATTAGAAATATGGCTAAATAACAAAATAAGTGAAGTGCTAGTAAAAAAGAAAGATAAAGAAATAATCAGCCAAACAATAAGAGATCTTAGATACAAAAAGATGACAATAAGTCAGTTTGTATATATAAACAATATAGTAATAATACAAAACTTAAGTTATATGCTATATCTAACAAAAATGTCAAAAAAAAGTATAAGTAAAATACATCAATCAATAATAAGTTTAACAAAGCAAAAGAGCAATCTACAAAGAACATTAGAAAACTACATAATAGAATACAAAGATCTTGGAAGTTGCAGAACACTATAACAAGAATTAACAACAAAACAAATAAGTGGCCTATTAGTAAGACTAAACAAACAAGATAGTTTGAGACAGTTAACAAAACTAAGAATAACACAAGGATGCTAAAGAGCAAATTTAATGAAAGATATATAGAAAATAGAGAAGATGTTAGAAAATATAAAAGGTTAAAAAAGTAACTTAGCTTGTCTAATATTGCTAAAAGCAAAAAAGCTTAATATAAATATAAAAACAGAAGGCAATTTATGAACTATGTTTGGATATAGAATCAAAATAAGAGAACTTATAGATATACAGTTACAAAAAAGAAGTAGTACTAAAATAAATGAAGCAGGCTTAATATATCTAAGCCAGCTAATAGATACAAAAGAAGAGAAATTAATTATATAGCAGCAGCTAAAAAGTAACTAAGGTCTATTGAATAAAAGAAAAAAAGCAGAATAGTTCAAAGTGATAAAACTAAAAGTGCTCATTAGATTAGAAAATAGAGAAATTAAAAGGCAATTTAAAACAATTAAACAAAATACTCAAGCAATGCAGATAAATAGAAGTATATTTCAGAAAACAAAAAAAGGAAAGAATAGATAGCATATGATGCACAGAACAATTGACAGTTAGAAAAAATAGTTAAGAAAAAAAAGAAAAAAATACTAGTAGAACATTGGCAAATTTAAAGTAAAGAAAGTGAATTAGCTATAGAAATTAACAGATGTAAGGGTTATATAAAAGAAGAAGAATACTAAGAAGATAGCTGCCAACAATGAATAAGAGTAAATAATAAAATTAATGTAATTTTAGATGCATTAATAAAAAAAGATAGCAATAAGATCAAGATAGCAATAAATTAAATAACAAAAACAA